TTGAGTTTTTCAAAGGCTTTTATTTCACCATCAATGGAGATAATCATGTTTTTTTCTTTCAGTTTATTTATATGATAAATTATACCAACAGATTTTCATATGTTGAACCATCAGTGCATCTCTTGGAGGAAGCCTACTTGGTCATGGTGGATGATCTTTTTGATGTGTTCTTGGATTCTGTTTGCCAGTATTATGTCCTTCAACCAAGGAAAGGATGAAGAAAATGTGGAAGATTTACACAATTGAGTATTACTCAGCTGTTAAAAACAAAGACACCAGGAAACTTGAAGACAAATGGATGGAACTAGAAAATATCATCCTCAGTGAGGTATCTGAGACCAATAAAGACAAACATGGTATGTATTCACTCATAAGTAGGTATTACCTATAAAATAAAAGATAACTATGCTACAATCCACAGACCTAAAAAGACTAGGTAACAAGTAAGTAATACAAATCTTCCTGGGAAGGAGAAATAGAAGAGATTTTATGAATGGACTGAAGATGGGTTGTGATTAATATTCAGGCATCTGTACTGCCCTGCCCTTGGGGTTCTGACAGGATGTACCCTCAGCTGCAACCACTAAGAGCACCACCTGTGCACATTCACTACATTCTCTTTTAAAAGGGTCCTGCCTACCTCCTCTCTCCCTCCTCCACCCCCTTTCCACAACTCTTGCTCCCAGTGACTGGTCTCTGCCTCTTCTCTCTCCTCTTTCAATAAACCTCCTATGTGAGTCCTGTTGTATGGTGCGACTTCTCTTCATTGTGTGTGTGTGTATTTTAATTATAACAAACATTAGTGATCAGGTTTGGGGTGGGGGAGTGCTGAAAAAAGACTACTGGAAAGGGAGACTTTTAGGGGTTCAGGCAAAAGCCTGAAGCAAGGGAATCTCCCAGGAATCTACAAGAATGAGCAGCTTTGACTCCTAGCAATAGCAGATTGGTAGCCTGAACCAGACATCTCCTATGTCTAGATTGGTGCCTAGCCCAATTGTCATCAGAAAGGCGTCAACCAGATGGAAACAGATGCAGAAACACTGCTAAACATTAGGCAGAGTTCGGGGAATCCTGCAGAAGAGAGGGAGGAAGGATTGTAGGAGCCAGAGGGGTCAAGGACACCACAAGAAAACCCACAGAGTCAACTAGCCTGGGCTCATAGGTTCTCACAGACACTGAACTGACCACCAGAGAACCTGCATGGGACTGAGCTAGGCACTTGGCACATATGTTACAGTTGTGGAGCTTGCTTCTCTTGTGGGAATCCTAACAGCAGGAGCAGGGACTGTCTCTGACTCTTTTACTGGCTTTTGGGACCCTGTTTCTCATACGGGGTTGCCTTGCCCAGCCTTACTACAAGGAGAGATTGTTTAGTCTTATTGCAACTTGATATGTCATGGTTTATTGATATTCATGGGAGACCTGCCCTTTCCTAAATAGAAATGGGGATGGGAACTGCTGGGTAGGAACAGAAGAAGGATGGGGGTGGGACTTGGAGGAGAGGAGGGAGGGGAAACTGCAGGCAGTTTTAATGAATTTTAATGAATAAACAAATAAATTTATTTTTTAAAAGAAAGAAACCCTGAGCAACTAATGGAGAGGACTTCTCATTTTTAGAGAAAATAGTAGAATCAAGGAAAGTCAGCTAGTTAATTCCCATGGCCTTTGCCAGAGAGATTAATTAAGAACCAAATATATTGTCTGCCACTGCTCCAAGCCCTGGAAGGCAAAGCCAACCAAGGGTGGCTGCAGGATTTACACCAGCATGGGAACCTGCAATCCCACACCTCATCAGGATCATAGCCCAGACACTTGGCCTCTTGAAACCCCAGAATGCTTGTTACAAATACAAGTGAACTGCCATACTCGTGATTTCCACATGCAAGCACCAACAATTGAACATATTTCAGTAGACGCTAATAAAATGTGAGTGCTTACAAGATGGAGAACAGAGGCTAGTTAAAACTATGGTTGATTAAGAGCAGTTTTAACTGCAAAGAATGTTTTGCCCACGAACTTCCTGTGTGGTAAAGCTCTAATTCTTTTATAGCCAACATACTGCAATGCTCTAAATATGACTCCCATCTGGCCAAAATGATGAATCACAGCTATTTTTATTGTAGCCAATGCATGATCATGGCATATCCATTCCAAGGGTCAATAAATAATATTTAATTAACTTCTTCATAAATTCTATAATCAAAGTGTATATCATTCTACTCCTTGGGCAACTGAGATGGGGGTGGGAGTTTCCCCTTCAAATATAATTATAAAAGAATTTTATAGCATCAAAAATCCTATAACAATAAAATACTAAAACTTTTTAGTTTTGCAATTGATTGTGTTCTTGATACTTGAATTAAATTCTAAGAAGCATTTTGTTTTTTGCTTTGTGTTTTGTTTTTGGGTTTTTTTTTTTTTTTTTTTTTTTTTTTTTTTTTGCTTCTAATTCAATCTAGAATTTCTATCACTGTCAAAAATGAAGTGGGCAAAACAGGAGAAGCAACAGATTGCCATAGAGGAGCATGCTCATATCACTCTGGAGAAATAACAACACTGCGATTGAACTACCTGAGTCACAGGTGCCCTTAGGCATCATAGCACATCAGGTATCCGCTTATGAGTCTCTTGCCTCCTCCAGCAGCACCACTTAGGCTAACTTCATTGTGGCTGCAGAAGGTTGATGGCAGCAAAGGGAACAAAGCTCGGCACTGCTCAACTTGGAAGGTTTCTCTAGGGAAAAGTTCCGGGGAGGTGGTAATTTTAATTATTTTCCTTTGTTTTTTTGGCATAGAACTTACCATTTGGTATATTACCCTTTGACCTAAAATACAAGGTATTCACGGGTCAGAGCAAGAGCAAATAGCCTCCTGACTTAACTGAAGAGATGGTTTCAGAAGGAAGTAGAACAGATATACCACAGCTAGCTCATAATAGGTCATCTCAGTTAACAAAGTCCACATTTACTACATCATATCTATGGAGTGATTGGAGAGAAAGTGTCATAGCTGGGAACTACATCACATCTTCTTTCATTAGGTTTATGTTTCTCCCAACCCAGATGTGTTTGAGCAGAGGACTCTTTGTGGCCTGCCAGCCATGCAGCCAGATGTAGGGCATAAAACATTCTAATTTGTTCTCTTCTAAGTAATGAAAAAGTCACATCATCTAAAAGGAAGTGGTATGCATGCACACTCTACAATTACCATGGAAGCCAAATCTGTGTGAGTCACCCAACAGCCTGCACAAGACGATTTGGCGACTGGAAAAACCTGATTAATGGCATTCTTAAAACAACAGAGTAACAACCTGACCTGCCAAAAATTATTATTTTTTCATCATATCACCAGTTTTTTGTTGGTTTTTTTGGGGGGTGGCTATTTAGCATCTCCCACATATGAAAATGAAAATCATGTTATAATGCACTTTAAGTCTATATATTGTTGAGGAGGTCGGATTTAATAAGTCAGCTTCGGACTTGTACACTGCCTTGAACCGGTTGTGGACTACTTTGGACCACGTTGAGACTCATTACAAGGTTGTTTTCTCATTACAAACGCAATTAGTTCAAGGACTGTACAATAAGATGCTTCTGGAAAACACAGGTGACTGGGATCCAAGGTAACGGTCAGATCTCAAGGTTGGAGGCTGATGTACCCATACTGTCCACTAACAGCAATCCAAGGCTCCGAGTCCAGGTAGCTCCCTCCCGCCGCCAAGTCTGAAATGCCAGGAAGATCTGCTGGGCTTTAATTTCCAGCCCTGAAACGCCCACAGCCTGGGCTGGCAGAGTTCATCAACACCGAGGGTGAATTCGCTGCCCGTGGCTTTATTTTCTCACCGATACAACACAGCCCATGCTGAATAAGTCAGTCACAGGCATCTGGATTTCGACCCGGGCCGGAATCGACACCCATTTGAAAGAAAAGCGACCTGCGGGCGGCTGGCACCACATTCCCGAAGTGTAGGAGCGCCACACAGGGTGTTGTGAGTTTCGGATGCGAAACGCTAAGCAGCCCCGGCGCTCCGGGTTCCCCTCCACCAGCGATACTATGCACCCGCCTAGACGCCGCCTGCTGCCCTTGCCCACCCACCTCTTCTAACTCGGTATAGATCCCCAGCCCCTGTCTCGGGTCCCAGCGGAGCACCTAAAGCCACCCAGCATCTCTGGGTGGTTAGGAGAGGAATCCCTACCCCTCCCGGCCCCACCTGGCCGGTGCCGAGCAGAGGAGCCGTGCCTGCCGCCCCCCACCCCTTCGCCGCGCAGGGCTGTAATAATTACATCCTCATTATTTCTTCTGCGATCGTTAGGAAAAGAGCCCGAGAACAGCAACAGCAGCTGCCGGGGGAGGCTTAGTTACAAAACGCTGCGCTGGGTAGCGCTTCGCTTAGCAACCACCCCTAAAAAAGCCCCCGTGCTCCCTGGCTCGCACTTGGAGAGCCTAGCAGCGGCTACCCCCTCCCAACCCCTAGGCCCAGGCCCTGCTCATCGCGACGGCTGCAGCAAAGGGCACAAGTGGCCCCTCCCCGCCTCCGCGACCCCAGCGTCCTGTAGCACCGGCTCCAAGCACCTTCTGTTCATTCTCAATCGAGTCCCGGTGGCCACCTGCGCTTGGGGGAGGGGGAACACAGGTCGCTGCCCACTGCCCCACCAGCCCCTCTCTGGCCAGCGCCCCAGACTGCACCCCTTATCCAGCCTCGCGGAGCGGGGAATTTCACACCTCCGCCTCGCTCCTGTAGCCCGGGAGCCCGTGTGCCAGCAACCCAGCCACGGGGCTCTGCAGCCTGGAGGGACCCCAGCGGCGGACCCCGGAGCACGGCTCCCCTGAGGTTATCTCCCACTCCCAGAGCGTGTTCCTAGTAGCCTCCTATCCCCCAACGCAGCCACCTAGGCAGGGCCTACGGTCTCGCAGCACCGCCCCCTCCCTGCCCCGACGGCTCTAGCCACTTAGCGCCCAGGTCCCCGCATCCCAGTCCCCGCGGCCCCGTGCGTCTCGCACCTTCCTCAGAGCGGACATCCTTGGGCTTTCCTAGTTCAGAAGATGCTGAGCGACATGGTAAGGTGGCCACCCTTCAGGCCAGGCGGCACGCACGGCACTGCCGCCGGCACCCAAGCTCAAGAATCCTTGGGTCCGTGCGTCGATCTGCAGTCTGTCTGGCCGCCGCCGCCGCCGCCGCCGCTGCCGCCGCCGTGCGCTCCAACCCTGTTCGAGCCCGGCGCACGGTCGGTCCTCACGGCCGGCGCCTGCGCACTCGGCGCCCGGGGAGGCACCGGCGCACTGGGGGGCGGCCGGTGCGTGGCTCCATCTGAGGAAGGACCCAGAGCCGCGCGCCTAGGGGGAGCGCTCAAGCCCCTTTGCGACTGCCAATGGCAAGCCTGGCCCGGAGATCGCATGGCGCGCATGGCCCGGGAGCCCGCGCACAGCAGGTCCCAACTGTTGCGCGCAGAGCTTTGGGTCACTCGAGGACAGTGAAGGTACCGGGGCGGGGGAGCAGAGAGGTCCCACCCCGCAAGTGCTCGGCGTGTTTGTAGGTCAGCGTGGGAATAACACAAGAGGCAATGCGCCTGGAAAGGTCTAGCTCAATCTGAATGGAGATGGGAGATCTTCAGACGCGTTGGTGCACCATACTCTGCCCTGTGAGGGCTGTCAGGTCAGAGAGAGGAAACATTAGAAAACAAAGCTCCCTATGGCCGCAGAGAGTGCACAAGGTGCTCTGGGTGCTGGGAAACACAACCTCTCTGTTGCCACCTGTTAACCTCCTCGCCAGTAAACTGCTTGCAGCTGTGCTCAAAGAAATCAGGGATCCTCCAGTGGCACCCCACACCCCCCACCAACACGCGCACACCTCGAACAGCAGTCTTCATTAATAAACCTGGTCCAGTATTGAGATGGTGTCAGACATTTGTCTTCTGCAGCAGCATATAGACGCATGAAGTGTGGAAATGGAAGCTAATAATAACAATAATAATTTATCCTTTTATCTCAGAGAAGTCTGGAAGACAACCAGGAAGTCTGGCAAATTTAGCTAATTCACCATGTTGTGATGAAGTCTAGTTAGATTCATGGGAATGTCCTTCTCAGATCTGTCGGCCAGCCAAGAAGAAAAGTTACTGTGGCCTCCAGTAAAATGCCCTGGCAACTAAAGACATAGTTTGACACTGGGTCTGGGACTCTGCCATTACCCCTACCTAACCTTGGGCAGGTCACTGGGATCCATGTAAATGTGAATGTAGAAGGGGGCTTTTGTTTCCTTCGTTAAGAAGTTTAAATGTGACCAAAACTTAATCAGCAAGATGAATGTTTACAGGAAGATGAGTAGGTGTAGAATAGAAGGGAGGTACTGAGAACAACCCAATATTTTCCAAATCCCAAGATCTTTACACGAAAACAATCTCCATAAAATGCATTTCATATAATCAACAACCACAGAGTACTTTGAAAGCAAAATACAAATTGTGTGAGAGATACATAAATGAATCAAGGAATCTGACATGCCTTCTTCTTAGTGTTTTTGGTATATTCCAATTGGTGTTGGTGGAAAGTTGTATTTCACTTATTCTTCCATTCATTTATTTGCGATGTCACACAATGGCAGGGATGAAAGAAACATGTGACACTTCTTACGTGTTGTGGACATGTGAACAAAACAGGAAAAGAGGTTGTCACCGGGCACACACCCAGTCTTGGAATAGAGTCACACTAAAGTTACAGGAGTTTAATCCTAGATCACACTTGCTTCTACAAAGGAAATATACCATGTTATTGGAAAATGAAAATGACAGCAACAATTTGTGATGTTGAGGAAGTATTATGAAGGTTGTCATTACATGGTTCTGAGTGTAGGTAATTTATTTGAACATTTTGTCTCTGGAAGCTAAACAAGAATATAAAGAGTGGGAAAAGGAAGGGAAGTTAATAAAGGAAATAAAGGGTGTGCATCACGGTGATCTTTCCTTCAGGCAACTAGAGCTGTCCTATTGAAGATTCCTTGAGGAAAAGTCTGAGGTGCACTTCAGACCTGCTTCCTTCTGCCCTCCCCTCTACTTCCCCTGCTGAGAAACTTTGATAATGTCACAGAGGTTGATATGGATGGAGTGAAGCCAGGGGTTGGCTTCTACCAAAGGACCCAAGAGGGACAGGAAGTGAGGTGGAAGAAAGTTCTGATGGCTGGAAGAACAGACCTGAAGACTTAGAGACAACAAGAGACTTGCCTTTTCTTCTAAATGACTAGTTAGATTAGGAACTGAGAGACCATCATGAACGTGGACTGACAACATGTGAGGTTTTAAAGGACTTGTAATAATAATTTATACACAATGTGATCTTCGTGGGATTTTTAACCAGGACATTAGGGTTTCTTCATGTCACTTGCAGACAAAGCCATTTTTATTCTTTCTTACCAATGTATGGTCTTTTTATTTCCTTTTCTTGTCTCATTACATTAGCTAGGATTTCTAGTATGATTTTGAAAATCAGTGGTTAGAGGGAATATCCTTGATCTTTGTAGGAAAGTTTCTAATTGTTTTTTCCCTTCATGATGATATTTGAAAAATGTTTTGTAAATGTTCTTCATCAAGTTGAATAAATTACCTTTTATTTATTGTTTTTGCCAAATGCTTTCTCCATTTTGTTTTTGTTCTTTTTATTCTGGGTCTGTTACAGGATACAGTGAGTGAGTTTTTATTTATTTTTTTATTTTATGTGCATGAGTATTTTTCCTGAATGTATGTATGTGCACCAGTGTGCATCCCTGGTGTTCTCCGATGGCAGAGGTATCAGATCTCCTGGAACTGCAGTTCCAGATGTTGTGAACCACTGTGTGAGTGCAAGAAACTGAAGCCAGGTTCTGTGAAAAAGCAGTAAGAGTTCTTAACCACTGAGCCATCTCTCCTGCCCCAGAGTGATCATTTCAGATGTTTTAAAAGAGCTTTTTGGTTGCTATGAAGAGAAGAGTTGCTATGAAAGTAGGGTAAGAGTTGGAGGACAGCAGTAGGCGTGGGGGAGAGGGCAACTTTCAAATGGAATCTCCATGAGAGGCGAGGACACAGATTAGATGTGATCTTTCTGGACAGGTCTGTGGGGGAAAAAAAGAGAGAAGGAAGCAACTGTTTCCCAAGAGTAGCCTGGCAGCTGAGTGGATGGTGTTTGTGGCCAACTGAGAGAAATACATGAGTGCCTGTTTTCTGGAGTTCTTGGGGACTGTGGCAGAAGCCGGCACAGGTCTGCATCTGGGACCTTCTGTTTCCTTGAACCATCACATGTTTTGTATCCTGTATTCCAATGAAATTAACGATGACCAAAGACCCTAAAGACTGCCCTTGACAAGTCCAACTGTGCATACAAACAAGTAAACTCTCCTTTGACTTGGCTGCAGGATTCATTCCGTGTCCTCTCTGGTCACTTCTCTTAGGCCAAAGCTAGAGCCTCCTCATCTCTCAACTTTACAAAGCTTAGAAGCTGTGTGACTCAACTCTCCCTTAGTCAGTACTCTGGCCACAACATCCAATCCCTCCATGGTCTCCTAAGTTTATGCATCAAAAGCTGCTCAGCACTACATAACAAAGGGCTTCCCAAAGGACCCCCACATCAGCCTGAAACCCCAACTTTTCCAGTAGTGTACTAAAACCCTGAACCCATTCTCAACCTCCCCTTTTCTATCACAGACCAGTCTGATGAGTCAGAACATCTCTTTTGCTTTGCCTTCAAACACATCCACACCCTGACCATTTCTTCCTATGATCTTCAATGATGGCACAATGACCCCTTGTTTCACACACAACCCCCCCTTCCCCCGCAATTTACTCTCAGCAGGGAAGCTGACACCATTTCTTTAACATTTACATCAGATTGTTTCACTTCTAGGCCCCCAAATGATCAGTTTTCCACATTTCCGTGGAAGGTTCGGTGTTGCTTCTTCCACGATTGTCAACAGAGAAGTAGAATGAGGCAGAAAAGACCAATTATTAATTTTTTTCATGATTTACTCAAAGCACCGCTTGTACTGCCTATTTGCCAAGCATGTCTTCACTTGCTACCTGGAACGGAATGACCATGACCTGGGAAATAGTGGGAACATTGGGTCATGCTACCCTTAACAACCTAAAGATGGCCACTTAGGTTTCTGTAAAATTTCGATTACTTGCCCACCCCACCTTGTGGGCAAGCTATAAAACGCTAATACAAACTGGAGCCCAACCGAGGCCTTTCAGGAACTATCTTGGTTTGAGGCCATCAGTAATATCTCTACCCATCCAAAGGGTCCGCAACGCCCGAGGCCACGCCTTCTCTCCTCCCTGACCCCAACCCGCCTTAGCTCTCCAGACAGGGGCTGGCAGGCAGGCACTTTACTTGAACCATAGTTGGTCTTTTTTTTTTTTTTTTTTTTTTTTTTTTTTTTTTTTGAGTATTGTCTTCATAATGTCAGGCCTTCCTCTTTCATCTCCGCAAGTCTGTGCTTGTTAACCTCCATTAACCAAAGACATCTACTTTGTGTCCTTGATTTTAAAGTCCCTGCTTGGAACCCTGCTCCCTGCGTTACTTCTGTTCAAAGAGCTCAGTCTCTTTGGGACGTGTTCCTTACAGTCTTCTTTGTCATGCGCCTCTCTTGTCCGACCTATCATGAACGTTGTTTCTAGCTTGCAGGGCATGTTTCTGAAGAAGCAATTCAAGGGCGAAGGGTCGGTGTCAAAAGGGCACAAGGGTCCCAGCGCGGTAGCAACGCCGGGCTAAAAGCAAAGTGGCTCCGGTGAAAGACAACACAGAGAGACCGGTAGACGCGAAGCAGAGGGAAGGCGCAGTCGGTGGGCCCCGCTGGTGTGCGAGAGCACCAGTCCCGCCCGCAGATGTAAACCGGGTCGGGCAGAACGAATAGCCGCTGTCTGGGCGGAGAGGGACCTTGTCATGCCTCCAGAGTCCAGATCTTCCTTCTCTCCTCGGCAACCTTTCTCCAGTTTGCACCGCAAGTCCCGCAAGTGCGGAGAGCCAGTACAGACCCCAGCTGTCTCTTGACCCAGACCACAAGAGCGGCAAACGCAAGAGCAGCGCTACCGGGCCACTTGCCTTCCGCGCAGGCTCCACAGCCAGGTTCCTAGAGGCAGAGTTTAAGCCACCCACAGGCCCCATATGAACCAATGAACCGCCGGATAGAGATGATTGGCACCCGGCGGCGGGGAA